GTTCATTATATCCTGCTCTTATCCATCTGAGTATCCCAGTGTGCTCCCAGATACAACAGTAAGGTATAAGATACAAAAAATTATATTAAAAAATTTAAGTGATCTTCAAGGTTAAAATAAGCAATTTGTTATTCATAGTATGAGATTGTGTGTGTGTTTTTTTGTATTAATTATTATTTGTCATTAAATATATATTATTTGTCCTTCAGGTGTTCGGCTCTCAGCAGGGCTGAGCAGACACAGCTCCAGGCACAGCTCACTAAATACCTCATGGAAAACTGCCAGGGGGAGGTGTGTGTGCTCGCTGCGCTGGACTGGGTGAAAGACAACTTGCCCCTGTTTTTAAATAAGAGCCTATTACCAGCGCCGACTCCAAAGGCAGAATCTGCCTGTCCACCGGAAGTGTTCAGCCGACTGTGGATCTACAGCCACCACATCTACAACAAATCAAAAAGGAAGAACATCTTGGAGTGGTCAAAAGAGTTGGGTCTCTCAGGATTCAGCATGCCTGGGAAGCCTGGCATTGTGTGTGTGGAAGGTCCTCAGTCTGCCTGCGAGGAGTTTTGGTCCAGGTATTTTAAGTGTTTCTATTTTTAGCAGCTGATGTCACCGCTAGAAGCTTATAGAGGTACCAGGTTTATCACCTTTTCAAACCCTTTTTTTTTCTCATTTCAGAGTGAAGGTTCTGACATGGAAGAAAATCATGATTCGACATAGAGAGGACATTACCATTGATCGTCAAGGTGAGGACGGCAAGACTGTGGAGAGCATAGACTCCCTGCGCAAATTCACAGGCTTTGAAGAGGCTATGTTTGACCCTCATGGGAATAGAGGGAATCACATGGACCTTGGACAGCTCTACCAGTTTTTAAATGAGAAAGGCTGCTGTGATGTCTTTCAGATTTATTTTGGCATTGAAGGAAGGTAGTAGTCAAACCAAGAGAAAAAGTTGCATTGAAGACATTTTTCCCCCCAAAAGAAGCTTACAACCTAAAAAAAAGAAAAGCTATGCATTGTAAAATTTCTATGTAATCTGAGAGCACTCATATTCATCATGTCATTAAAGTTGCATACATTCATCATCTTTTATTGACTAAAACTGGTACCACTGTGGTAAAATGGACATAAATAAATACATCACAAAGCCTCTTTTCACACTTTGCTTTGGTAATTTTTATTTATTTAATTATAAAGAAATAACAATATATTTGTTTTCAAAAATACCTGCCTGACTTCCATTTCAAACATTGTGCCCCAGGTACTTCCTCCTTTCATTGGCAGCAGTGTTTTTATTACCTGGTCCTTTTCAGATACAGCTGCACAAGATGGCCAACATCTGCTTCTGTCTATATTTTGGTATGATGTAATTTTATTTCTATGATTTATAGGAAGCAAAATTTTTATTTCACCAATAAATTCTTTTGAAAAAAAAATTTCAATGTGCATGACATTATACAAATACAATTTGAAATTACCAAGCTTCACATTGAGTTTTACATTAAGGATATTTATAGGATTATTATGATTATTATTTTTTTGTTTGTTTATGCAAAGTAAGCGCTTTACATGCTTGTTTTATTCTTGTTCAGATCACTGTTCTTGAGCATTATTTCATAAATAATTGTAAAATGCACAATGTAAATGAAATGAATATCCTGCTGAAAAACATTTTTAATTACGGTTTCTTTTTCAGGTTTTGAGTGAAGACCACAATTAAAATGTATATTTTAGTGTTTCCTTTTCATTGGGTCTTTGACTTTTTAGCTATCAGGGGGAAAAACGTTATAAAATAAAAAAGGATATGTAATTAAAGAGCAAAGTGGATACACAGGATTGAATTTAGTTGCAAATTACTGTCCTGCAGATGGCAGCAATAGATAATCAAAGTAGGTAAACATGGCAATCTGAGATGTAATCCTGGATTACATGAGATTCACATGGCAAAATCTTTGGTCAAGTAGGACTTCTGGGACAATAAGTTAATTTATAATCAAGAAGTTGTTCTTATAAATACAATTAATTTTTAATGAGTGTTTCATTTGCTTTTTTATTGTAATAACTTGTCTGTGAAAAAAAGACAAGAAAACTTGGTGGGATATTTTAATAAAGATAACATTAATATAGATACCCTCAATTTTTTTTATAAACATCTATTAAATATTGCTTGTTGTATTTGTTGTGATAAAGACTTATTAGATTTGTCACTGTAGAGTATCAGACATTCAGTGTGGGTATTTATCAGTATATTGTAGTAGATTGCACCGACTTTAAATAGCAAAATTTACAGATTTTCAAGAAATGTTCAACTTTTAATTAACTAAACATCTTTTCAGTGCTTGTTTGTTCATAGACCTGTCCTCTTCCTTTGTTCCTTGATTGTGTAAATTAAGTTTCAGCACGTTCAGCGTATGATAGTGACAAAAATAACCCCTCGCTTCAATGAACAGAGGTTTATTGCTTATATACATATACCCATCTGGCGTAACCCTAGTAAGCATGTTGCTTACTAGTTTTAACTCCTTTGTCTACAATAAAGATCTCTGTCAGCAGAGCAGCAGTATTGATCCACTCTTCCACTGGAGCTGTAGAGCAAGTCATTAACACTACTTCCGGTCACAACAAAGTCAATAACACTACAACAGCTCAAACGTAGACCACTCACTCGAGTCTTAGCTGCAGTACAAAAACCTTTGAAATTATCACTGAAGTGAATATAAAAACTGAGCTTCTTGTGGCAATTTATAGAGCTGAGCTACTTTATCTGAAAGGATGTCCTCTGTTAAACAACGTGCTACATATTTATGAAAACAACAACATTTATGTTCAGTGAATAAACATTGATTTACACAACCATTTACAACAAATGCAATACAGATGTTACTACGCTGCTGCAACCTTGACGTGCAGAATGAAAGTAATAAAAATATGGTTATGTCTCTTCAATAAACCATCTTGACAGTGGTGAAATAATTGCAATATTGCTTTGCATATATTAGCATAGAAGCAGGATAATGATCCTACTTACCTGGACAACGTGAATTTTAGCTTCATCCCAATGAGATGGTTCAGCAGATCAGGGTTCTGCATATTTAGAAATTTATAGGGTGCTTTCCTTTTTTATGGGCCTCTGTGACTCCAACATCATTATCACAAAACTGCAGACAGACAACGGTGCAGGAGGTGAAGGTTGGAGCAATAGTAGGATTCGGTTTCCTCCCACCTCACATTGGTTTATTGTTCAATGACATCTTAAGATTTTCAAATAAAATTTAAACGGGGAGCTAGACTGTAACTTAGAGGATTATTGGTTGTCAGACTGCTGTGCACTTTTATCTTCTCTGTGGTGGAAGCTATACAAAAAAAAGAACTTTTAAATTTCATTTATATCTATGTTTTTTTTCCAATCCGTTAGCATATTTACTGGATTCTATTTTTTTTAATTATTATTGTTGAGGGGTCCCAATAAATTCGCCTAAGTCTGTAAATGATCCTTAAGTCCATCCATCCATCCATTTTCTTCCGCCTATCCGGAGTCGGGTCGCGGGGGCAGCAGCTTCAGAAGGGAGGCCCAGACCTCCCTCTCCCCAGCCACTTCTTCCAGCTCCTCCGGGGGAACTCCAAGGCGTTCCCAGGCCAGCCGAGAGACATAGTCCCTCCAGCGTGTCCTGGGTCTTCCTCGGGGCCTCCTCCCAGTGGGACGTGCCCGGAACACCTCACCAGGGAGGCGTCCAGGAGGCATCCTTACCAGATGCCCGAGCCACCTCAACTGGCTCCTCTCGACGTGGAGGAGCAGCGGCTCTACTCTGAGTCCCTCCCGGATGACCTTAAGTCAAACTGTAGAAACTCAAATTGACTTGTGTACACCTGCATGTACTCTGATTCTTTTCAAGGTTTTACAAGTATTATTTGTGCTGTGGTATTTTGTGTTGACATAAGAAAACAACTATAATCATAATGAGACAGATCTTCCTAATAAACAACTACTTGCTAAATATTTTACTGTGTAAGAAATATTTATATGCTATAAAACATACAAATGAGAAGTATATTAGTTTGACTATAACAACAAAGAAGACGTAACAAGTTTGGAGTGCATTCATTTATATTCACTGCTTGAAGTTCAGCATTGATTCTTGTTGTGAATTTGTCAGAATGTCACAGAAGCTGCACAACAAAAAAGTCCTTTTTTTGTCAATTTGCCATGCATTGAATTACCATTTTCAATTCGGCTAAAGTAAAGTTGATAATCGAAGCAATTAACAACACAATCAGTTGTGGTTCCAGGTGGTAGGTGAAAACTTGGCCAAGCCGCTCTTTGGGATTCTGGACCTTCTCTCCTGATGACCCTTCAAGGTGAACTCTTGTATGGTTTCTTGCCCCATGAATACCAAATGTGGTTGAATTAAACATTTTCTCTTGTCTCACTTCTCTTTAATCAGTTCTCTTGCTGGGTTGTCTGTCTGGAATAATCCCACCGGTGTACCACCCCACTGACTGGCATAAAGACAACAGCCAGGCTTCTATGGAGGTATTTAAACCTCATGTCCCAGCGGTTATTCCCTGCTTTTTGATTGCCTTCAAGCACATTTTAGACTCCACAGAGCTATGAATTAAGAGAACCTCTTTTGCATGCTGTGGATAGTATACCACCTCTGAACTTGAGGTCTCAAGTATTACTCACTCAAAAAGGGCTTGAAGTAGTTATCTTATTGAAAATTTTTATTCTAAAGCTTACTTTTTTGTATCTTGAACAGTGTTATTAAATATCCAATAACAGTTAAAAATGGAAAATATGAAAATAACTGTTGAGAGCAGCATTCAAAATTTGCTATGGGGGAAAAAATAAAAACACAGCTGGACAGCTGCTCATCTAAATAAACTGCGTGAGTAATATATTTTAACAATTTAAGCCTGATTAACAAAAATCCCTGTGATAATCTTTGAAGCACATTTATAAAGCCTTTTCGCACAGATGGAAAACTAAACGTAAATTCGTAATAACTGAGTTTTATTCTGTCGAATGGCACAACTCTGATAACGTGGCTGATGGCAACACCTGATGTCCGCCCACATTTAGACAGCTGGTATCCTGCAGGCACAGCAGCAGAACTTTTCAACATTCTGTTTAAATATTGATACTGCGGAGGAAAGTGTCTGTTATGTATAAGAGAAATCCTTGCTGCTGAATAAATCAGTGAAAAATTACCATGAACTTGTTCTTTAAACGCATCTCTGTTGTTCAGATTTGTACATGCTATTGTTTTTCATTTATAGGTGCTTGAAACCCAATTATTATTTTCTATATATAAAATAACTATTTACAAAAACATTTCTATATATAAAATAACTGACTTTCCTCACTAAAATCTAAATTAATCTCTAAATTTGAGCTTTGCTGCACATAATTTACACAATAACATGTCACAACTACTGTAATTAAAAACTGAACAGTATAAAATTATGTGAATGCATATTTATAAGAGTAAAAATCTTTCTTAGCAAAGAAGCATCGGCTTTTATTTGAAGAAAAATACATGCTTCTTATAAGAAATGAGTGCTAAGGTTTGACGTCATTTCATTGGAAGAACACTGCTTTCCCATTCACTAAAATTGCAACATTAATTAAGTCTCTGGTGACTTCCTTGGAAGAATCTCAAGTGCTTAATTTTAAACAGATGGCACGCTGTTTATTGCGTACCTTTTGCCACAGGTACAGTACCCACCCCCCCCACCCCCAAATACCAACACCACTCTCCCAAAACATAACACTTCTCTTTATGTACTCTCGTGGGTCTGCATCACTAAAAATTTACTCTAACAAATCTGGAAAGTTTGTTTTAATTGGATCCAAGCGTTCAGTGTAGAATAAATCAAATGGCAGACAGACCATCCCCAGGCAGACTATTTAAAGATGCATCGCAGAGAGCACAAGTCTGTTCAGAGGAATGAGTTCTTTGGTGGACCTGTTTCAGTCATCAATTTGTGCACGGGCTCGCAGGTGGCCTGATTTGAACAGGGAAGCTGCCACCCCACAAAGTGGAGGCCCTCATCCAGCAAATAAGGGAATTGTATCTGACTGTACACATACTTCTGCACTAATAGCGCGGTGATGCATCTGGGGGGAAACACAAGTTCACGTTCTTTGTTCCAGATCATTTGACTCTTTCTAACTTCCATTCTGCCCTGTCACTATTAGAAGCCTGAGCAATCTGTTTAATCCCTTCAAATATGACTGAGCAAAGTACACCGCCCCCCACAAACCCCCCTTCACTCCTCTGTTGCACACACCGCAGCTGTAATCAAACAATCTCTATGTTGGACCTCAAATATTTTACATTAAATGTGATTAAAAAAACTTAAACCTGCAAATATATTTTGTGTTTTTTCATTGAGTTCATTATTTTTTTTAAAAAAAGTTTGCTGCTGTTCATTTTGCACAGTTAGCTGTGAGCATGCCATCCAGGGCTTCTAAAGGCAATCAATGCTGTGTGCAAGATTCTATGAAAAGTATATATTTCATTGCTTTCTGTGCACTCCCCATCTGAGTACAGGGGAATATTTTTTTCAGCCCTGACCTGCAATATTCATAATCACATTTTCATATTTTGTAAATGAAAATATTGTGAATTTTTCCATTTGTACAAAGTTCTATAACATTTATAAAAAAATGTGTACACAGTTTCAGAAATGACAAAGTATAACTAACGAATATCAAATATGTAATTGAAACATCCTGAATTTTTTTCAGAAACTTCAACATTTACTGTGGGATTCAACCTTGTTTTTATAGAAGAAAATCCTCACAAACAATGAGGTGGATTCTAATTAAACTTTCAGAATAGATCTAAAACTGATTCACTTTTGGAGTAAACCCAAATAGAGATGGCTGCTACAGATAATCAACATTACCACAAAAATGACTGTAAATCAGTCCGTTTCAGAGATATTTGGATAAAAATAGTTGTGCTAGAAGCAAGGAAAGCTATTCACCTAATTATTTTTGTAAATAATATAATTTTGTAAAATGTTCCATTAAATTTCCAAATAAAAGCCCGCTTTATTTGGCTTCTTGCCTTGTTAATAATCCTAAACATACCTGAGAAATACAAAAGAAAAAAAAGGCAGATGAAGTGAATATTCTAGTCATTGCTATTGTAATAAAAAAAAAAACTTTGCTCTCTTTCAGATTCTTGATGTGGAGACTAGAGAAAAGCTGAGTGCTAATGAAAAGCATACAGTCAGACTAATTATGTAGAGCAGGGGAAAACTTTGATGGACTATACATTGACGAATTAATGTTAATCACTTCAAAATCAGAACAGCGGTGTAGACACAATGTGTACAAATGTTAATGTTTCCTTTTAATATATCCATTTCTCCCTAAAGAGTTTTGTCAGAGACTTCTGTTTTGTCATGATAAGAGCTTATGGTGAGCTGGAGGACTTTTGTGGACTGTGCCTACAGAGTACAGAAGGGATCAGTTTTTTTCAGTTTGGGAAGACTTATGAGGCCTCTTTAGAGGTCAAGACGTGATTGTTACATTGCCCAAGGTATGGTTCCATTTCAAGGGTAAGGAGAAAATCCATTTGCCAACTCACTGTTTTTAATTGCTCAGAAACGTTATCCCCTTTCAATATCCAATTACTAAATTATGATGGATTTTTTACCATTACTTTCTGCCAGGCATTATTCAACACAGTCTATCACAATTTACATAGCTTAACGAAGCACTGAGCTTTTAATAACGTGAAGGAGCGTAATGTGGGAGCTGATGTTCATTTGAACTGGCTGGGTTTTTGGTGGTAATGATTATGAAGTGAACACTGGGAGCAGACTCTGTGAGGGGATCGGGAGGGCGCTGGGCGCAGTGTGAAACAGGCAGATGGTTGGCCGGACAGTATGTTGATAATGGCAACATTAGTCTACTGGGAAGCAGCATTATGCTCAAGGTCAATGGGAGCTGACGAATGGAGGAACATTACGACTTGCGTCTTGTGTCCTGATACGAGAGCTCCCTTCAAGGATGGTGAGATATTTAGTGTGACCTTTGCAATCTGCACACAGTTGTCTTATCAATACTCACATTTCAAAAAAGCAATGTTACCAGCGAAGTTATAATAAACCATCAAATGTGCCTTTTTTATTTAGATTTTTATTTCATGTCCAATATCCTTGTGGTATCCATATTTGTGCATATAGTTCTGTAATTTCCTGTGGTGGAATGTGCTTTTGTTATCATCCACCACCAAAAGGCGATGTGTCACCAATTGCTTAGATCTTTGCTTAAAACTTTAACATCAACTTCAGGAGTAAACCCTGTTTGTTTGTTAGCAAAATAACTCAAGAATCACTGGATTAATTTTAATCAAACTTTCCAAAAGTAATAATTGGATGCACATCTACAAAATACACCACCTCAGACCCAAAATGGCTTTAATAGTCTTTTCAAGGTGTGTAGCGCTAAAATTTCATGTGGTAGCAGAGTCATCCACAACACATAGTTTGAGGATGACATCTCACAATAGTGCATGACACTCAACATTTTGACAGCTGATCAAAACGGCTCCAGCTCAATATTTTCTCAATATTTAGTCTTAATCTAAACTGGAAGACAGTGGGAGATATGAATTCCTCAAAGGAATATTGAGCTTTTAATTTATTTCTTTTTGTACATTATATTAATATATTTCTCATGCATTTCCTAATTATGGTGTGTGTAAAATAAATTTTTATGTAGACCAAAAATCTGTAACATTTAAATCCCATCAGGATCCTACAGTTTTTGATGATGGCATGGCCAAATAAACCTGTAGATGATGGGTGGATTTTTTTTTTCCACCATAGTATTTTTAGTATTTACTTTGTTTTGCATCCTACATTTATTTCTTTTCTCTCTTTGGGGATTTTATGCTACATCACATTTAGTTTTGTTACAGATGGATTGATCTCTTTAGAAACTTATCAGAAAAAAATAAAAAAGATTAACAAATATGTATTCAGCACATAAATTTACTTTGGTGAAAGTAAAAGCAGTGTCCAGTTTAAAAAAAAAAACTAACTTTTTTTCCACCCATTATAGTAGTAAAATCACATCTTGTAAGCATGAGAATCTTCCTGATGGTGCTCATGTTTCCTTTTCCTAGTTTTTCCTAAAGTTAGATTGCATATATAAATTATTTCTGCAAGTCGAGTAATGCCTAACCGTTGCACAGAATAACAATTGCAGTGCAGCTGTGGTTCAAGTGCTGTCAATCAAAATGTGCTCCTTTCACCCGTGGATGTAAAGACTGATATTATGACTGCAGGTAATAGCCCTGTAATTCACCACCATAAAGCTTTGATCTTGAGCTCATTTCAGAGTGCATATGTAGTCACAACAAGACGGCAGTTTTTAAGTTGTTCATATTTTAATTCGCACTTTGGCTCTCATTTTTCCCCCCTTTTGTTTTTGTTTTTACAGTGGCATAGTTGAAAAATGACTATTCAATACTGAGAAAAGAAATCTCAAACATCCTCCATAAAAAGCAAATTAATTACAGCAATTAAAATCTTTGTACAAAATGACTTATTTATAGCATCATATTGAACTAACAAAGTAACATGTATGAGCATTGGCTATGTGGTTCAATGTCTTTGATACAATGAATATATACAGTTAGAAGAAATTTGATTCACCAATGCCTCAACATGTCAGTACTGTTTGCAGCAAACTCAAAGGCCATAACGGTGATCCTTGTACTGCTTTTTTTTTTCCATGATAAGTTACAGAATTGAAAAAAGTTAGTGTCAGACAACTACTTTAGTATTAACAACAATAATACGAATCAATTTAATATCGTATGATAAATGTCAATAAGTCATGATAATAATAAATACATATATATTGATTTTTTTTCCATTTTACGCAGTTTATCAGAATCCCTGTTTGAAGAAATCTTCAAAATTGTGAAAACACTCATCAAAGTGACAGGAATGGATGTGATTTTATATCAAAAGCTTTCACCAGTGCTCTTCTTTCTTTTACTGAAATACTTACATGTCTTGTGGTAAATCAAACTCTGCTTAGATAAAGGTAAAGAAAAAAAATCAGGACGTGAAATACTTTAAATACTATCTGCTAATATACAAAATGTAATGTGCCAGGGATCCCAAGATTCAACAATGTTGTTCACCAATAATCACATTAGCAAAGTATTTTACAGCAATATTCACACATTAAGCATAGTTGTTCAGTAAAATTCAACATAAATAATATGAACACCCGCCCTTCATCACCACAAAGATCAATTAATTCAGTTTGTGTAGCCAACCAAAATTAAAGTTTCTCATCCATTACAGTAACTAAAATCTTCATTACATGTCTGACTCCATCCGTTTAGACTCATAATGAATCCTGAGACAAGATACAGTTCATGTGTTTTCCATCTAAGTTTAGTCTTCTCATTTTGTGCTTTAATTTTCTAACTTTGTTAAAAAAAATCAACAGCATGAGCAACAACAAAAAGCAAACGAGAGTTTATGACAAGAGAAAGAGGAGTTCTCCTAGAGCCAGTTGTATAGATTGTGTGTCTACATTTTGTTTTACCCATTTAGTTTTATTTAAATAATTTATTAAATGTTTGCTTTATGGCTATGGTGGGAAAAAGACCAGGTAACATTCATTAGCATTGCTTTATCCCCCCAAAATAAATTTGTGACAGTAAAGTAAGCAAAACAGTTTAAAAAATAAAATTTAAGTTTATCTGGAGATGGAGCAGATCTGCTGTTCATTTTTAATAAACAAAATTGGCTGAAAAATATCATAACACATTCAAGGTACTCATTGAAAAGTCACGAAGACCAGAAAATAAGAGAAAACAAAAATTCTGAAGTAAATCACAAAATCCAAAATGTGTCCTATATCAGAAATCTGTAAGCAAATTTGTGACCAGATGCAGTCTACCATGTGCATTTGTTGACCTATGGAAACAAAATGAGAGAAAATAGATCAAACATTAAACTGATCGGCCATATTTCTTTACTTACACAGACTACAGTTAGCCTGATGTAGCTCAATCATGTGATCTAAGCTTTCCTATAGTTTTCAACAGTTCAAGCTGACTGCCTGGTTTACATCGAGTTTGGACCAGAATTTCAAAATAACCTTATCGAGTATTGGATAAAAAAAATATTTCAAAGTGCATCATTTGATATAATTCAGAAAAAAATTCTATATATTTCATTTCTTTCTTTGCAATGAGTACCGTTAAGTAAGAAAGAGAATCAGGGAAAATGTTAACGCCGTTCTGAAAAACAAATCAAATGCAGCGAGACGTTCAGCATTTAGGCACCAGAAAACTGAAATCTAATCCAACAGTGTATTTGTATCGGTAACAAAAAAAAAAAGAGATTTAGTTAGAGAAAACCAACATATCCAAGCATGGGCTTTCTAGGAACAGACAAATGAAAAACCAGTTAAATAAAAAGAATCACGTATTGATGCTGAGGCAGCTTAAAATTGCATGTCTTTTGTTGAACGCTGAAACAAAGAAGGAAGGGCAAGAGGTCTAAATGAAGTACTCTTTCTTTTCCTCTGCATGCACATGGTTGCCCTCAGCATTGATGATAGCCGTGTCAGCGTCGGGGGCATCTTCTGATCCTTTGGCCTCATGTGTTAGATATGTTCCTGTGGAGACACAGAACCAAACCAGGACTCCAACAGATGAAAAGTGCAGAACGTTTTCTTTTAAATGAAAAGCAGTGGAAGTGATCTCTTTTACCTTTATGTCTTGCCAGATATCGTCCGAGAACTATTATCAAACACAAGGTGATGAAGACCACGACTGCAACGACGCCTCCAATTAAAGCATGGTCAGGTCCATGTTGTCCTAAAGCGTTAGGATCTAAAAGGAGAGAAGGAGAGATGGAAGGAGGAATAACGTTATCTGCAAGATGTTGTGTCTATGTTTCATGCAGCTGTCAGCATTTATTAAAGGAGGACAGAAAATATTTTTGCTCCTGCAATTATTCTGGAAAAAGAAAGAGAGAGAGATGGGGACTTTATGCTTGCAAACAAACATTCCCAAATGAGTTTCTGTCATATTAAGAGGAACCTGCTGCTTTCAAGTGCCTGTACTGTAATCTGCCTAAACAGTAGAAATAATCACAACCACTAAGCTCTGCAAAATCAAACTAACTGGCATTACCAGCACCATCATATCCCAAAAACCAAAGTCTCATCTGGGAGAAATGACTTGGTCATTTTGCCACAGCCTCTGTGCATGCATTTTTATGCTTCTTCTTGCTCATTCTCACATTTTACAGCTCAGGCTCGTGTCTTTTTATTCCGTTTTAACGTTATTTAAAACAAGGCATTCTCAGGGCAGAACAAGAGCTGGGACTTTCTCGGGCTGGATCATGCTTTGGTGTCTTTGTTGTAATAAAACTGTGGGTGGCTGTGTCTTTACTCTGTACCTCTTGTGCTCTCATTATCTCAAGCTGATGAATGGCTGTAGCTTGTGCTCAGATTTGCAAAGTGACCTGGGAAATAACAGCATGGGATGTTTCTGCAAACCTGCTAAAGTAATGCCACCCTCATTTGCGGCATCCTAAATTGTGACACTTAAAACAAAAGATGAAGTTGTGAAACATGCAGATTTTTTTAAAACCCCATGCATAATAGAAACACTAGTTTTTTTTTAAATCAGAGACTCACAAGTGAACACATAAGGCTTTGAAACAATGGCTGGTAAACAATAATTGCATTAACTGGATTTTTGTTGCAAGTTGATGGATATAATGATCTGTGCAGGTGAATAGGCTGATAGACTGTCAGCAGGGATAACAGTGCACATTGCCATCGAGATGAGCATTGCTTAATGTGTCTTATCAAATAATACTGAAAACACAAGCAAAGGACATTGAATAAATACACATTCCCAAACACACTGTAAAAAATATTTGCATGTAAGAAATTCTTGGTTCAATCTTGATACAAACAAGAAAGAGACATTAGAAAATAAAATTGTAATAAGAACAAAATATTCTAAAAAATTACATTAAAAATACAACACAGTTACAAATAAAAAAAACTATGCAGCACCAACGTTAAGAATGACTAAACACACAACTGTGGGTTTATTGGCATAGGCCAGTTCCACAGAATGAGCTTGCTTTGGATGGCATGCTGCTGGCATTTTATAGATCCAAACCACTTTCCACCAGTAGATTGTACTTGTTACTTATTGGCCCCTACTGACAATCTCCAAAGGTAATTTTAAAAAGGTACCACCCCCCCCCCCATCTGAAAAGCTCTGAAAAATAACTAAACATGTTGCATGTAAATGAGTTCTCAAAACCACCTACAATTATCAAGATTTTTTAGTAACAGAAGGTATAGTCTTTTTTTTAGAAGTTCAGTCAAACACGTTTTATAGTTCATTATTGCTAATAGATTTTAAGCAGCAGAACTAATGTGGCTGTTTGTGCCATCTTTTAGTTCAAAAATAACCAGCATACCACCCAAGGAAATCAATAATGCTGTAAATTCAGTATATTAAGCTGAATCTCATTTAAGGACAAAAGGTTTGACAAATGCCACAACAGAAGGGTGACATACCACCACCCACTTTTACATCTAAGCATCATAAAATACAGTCACTTCATATTGAGACAATGGCAGCTCAGCCACTAATAATTCAGTATTTAGATATTAAAACAAAAATAAACTGGAGACCTGTGTTCATCCACTTCTTTAAAGGTGCAATCTCACATAGTTTCAGACTTCAGTTTCTACAGCACAGATATGACCCACAAAATAAAACTGCTGTAACCTCATCCTCCAAAATCCACACATATAAATTATGATCACAAAGTATGATAAATATTAAATATTTTATAAAAAGAATGTCATGTGAGTTCTGAAAACTACACTTTTGACCTTCATTTCAATTCGACGCCCACATGATCGCATCATTGCCACACCACAAATATTATATTCAGCCCAGTTCATTTCAAATGGAACCATCCATTTCATTTGACAATGACAAACTCAAATAAAAACACATTGTGTGATATCTTATGCAGTCCGTGACATGGCTGGGGAGAAAGCAGCTGGTGTCAACAGAGTGAGCATCCATGCATGTTGATGATTTGGCTCATGCAGGGTGAGGCCATGATGTGTCCTGACCCCGAGCCAGCTCCAGCATCACACACACTAAATTTGGCTTGCAATGATCATTTACTTGAATATTTACCTGTTGAAGGCCCTGGAAAGTCTTTGGCTGTTGCCATGGTTGTAGACAGTGACAGCAGTAAGGGAAGACGAGTGGAAATACACCATGATAAAAAGGTGACCACAACATTCAAAGCAAAACACAAAAGATTAGCATGATCTTAGCTTGGGGTGCAGAAGTGACAGAAAGGGAAGCCTACTGTCAGAGCCAAATGCATCCTAAGCTGAAATGACAGACATTTTATCTGGAAAAGCAGCAAAAGGCAAACTGATGTACTTTCTTACAGAGCTCAAGGCCTGAACCTAAATTTACATGTAAATATTCTCTTCTACTGTAGACTTTTTGTTGCACACTTTAACTGAAGGTGATATCTCATTGAGCTGCCACTGTTTGGAGACTAGTTGGTGAAAAAAAAATCTTTTGAACTTGCAGAAACAAATTGTGAGAAAATACATGTATTTTCAGCTACAGCCTGAGTGTTTGCAAGCAAATGACCACTGAGACACACAGCCACATTTTAAGTGGTCAGTTTATGAGCATCACAGCCTATTTTTTGATTCTACAATTTGCCAAACTGTGCTTTTTTTATTGCCCACCTACCACCACTTTGGCATGCTTTGATCCCAGCTTTGCAGTAACTGCCACGTTCATGATTTAATTTACTGAAGTGCACTTTTGAAATGAAGATTTGGACCAGTTTTCCAATAATTATTATCAAGAATTACTGTGTTTTATTTTTAAACCTTGACATTTGCTTCCAATGTTTTCTGTCAAAGCAGAACTCTAGCACTCTTGAGATGGATTGGAGACACGTGGCAAAATTCAAATCTGTTTGAGGTAAGTTGGAGACACCCCAACCAACTTTGTGACAATTTCAACAGAAAAGTTGTTGCGCACCTTTTTGCATAAATTCAAAACTCAAGCAACATACACTCACCGGCCACTTTATTAGGTACACCTTGGTAGTATATATAAAGATGTATAATATTTGGTATAAATAAAAATGGTGTGGTATGGTATGGTATGGACCCCCTTTTGCCTTCAGAACTGCCTTAATCCTTCATGGCATAGATTCAACAAGGTGCTGGAAGCATTCCTCAGAGAGTCTGGTCCATATTGACATAATAGCATCCCCCATTTGCTGCAGATTTGTCAGCTGCACATCCATGATGTGAATCTCCTGTTTCACCACATCCCAAAGGTGCTCTATTGGATTGAGATCTGGTGACTGTGGAGGCCATTCGAGTACAGTGAACTCACTGTCTTGTTCAAGAAACCAGTCTGAGATGATTCCAGCTTTATGACATGGTGCATTATCCTGCTGGAAGTAGCCATCAGAAGATGGTACACTGTGTCATAAAGGAATGGACATGGTCAGCAACAATACTCAGGTAGGCTGTGGCGTTGACACCATGCTCAGTTTGTACTAATGGGCCCCAAGTGTGGCCGGAAAATATCCCACACACCATTGCACCTCCACCACCAGCCTGAACCGTTGATACAAGGCAGGATGGATCCATGCTTTCATGTTGTTGATGCCAAATTCTGACCCTACCATCCGAATGTCGCAGCAGAAATCGAGACTCATCAGACCAGGCAACGTTTTTCCAATCTTCAGTTGTCTAATTTTGGAGAGCCTATGTGAATTGTAGCCTCAGTTTCCTGTTCTTAGCTGACAGGAGTGGCACCTGGTGTGGTCTTCTGCTGCTGTAGCCCATCCGCCTCAAGGTTTGATGTGTTGTGTGTTCAGAGATGCTCTTCTGCAGACCTCGGCTGTAACGAGTGGTTATTTGAGTTACTGTTGGCGTTCTATCAGCTCCAACCAGTCTGGCCATTCTCCTCTGACCTCTGGCATCAACTGGGCATTTCAGCCCACAGAACTGCCGCTCACTGGATATTTTCTCTTTTTCGGACCATTCTCTGTAAACCCTAGAGATGGTTGTGGGTGAAAATCCCAGTAGATCAGCAGTTTGTGAAATACTCCGATCAGCTGGTCTGGCACCAACAATCATACCACATTCAAAGTCACTTAAATCACCTTTCTTCCCCATTCTGATGCCCGGTTTGAACTGCAGGAGATTGTCTTGGCCATGTCTACATGCCTTAGTGCATTGAGCTGCTGCCATGCGATTGGCTGATTCAACACGTGTAAATGAGCAGTTGGACAGGTGTACCTTATAAAGTGGCCAGTGCGTAGTTCCTAATGTGAGAATATTAAGAATCCTGCAACAGTTACAAGACATGCAGGAAACTCCTTCATTAATGCTGCTAGCCAGCTGCAGTCCAATGAGATACCACCTTAAGCTGAGTTGCTGTATCTATCACAAATTCTGTCAGTGAACAACAATATCTGGTTTATTAGTCCATCAGTCTTGATCTGAAAACCCCACAAGATTTTTAATCTTTTCATTCTTCCCAAGCTTACAAGATGTTTCATTTTGACCTGAGGACTTCCTGTTTTTCTCTCCACTTAAGATAACCATTTGTTTATACTGTAACACCCTGCTGTTACACAGTATATTATCTTTGTTGTATCTTTGCTTGAAGAAAAGAAATTATCTGCTGCAGTAGACTCTAGTGCTCACTGCTCCAATACAAGGGATTTTGATAAACATTCTAACAATAATGTACTTTCATCAGATCTGACAGAAACATTTGAATGTGAGAACAAAAACCTAACCATTTTTTGTTTTGTTTTGTTTTCTATTTTCTGCCTCTGCAAATACATTTGTGCAGTGGTTCACAAGCAGTAAGTGAATGATGCAGTATCTTACTCCTGCAATGTTTGAACAAATCTGTAATAGTAAGAAAACAGTTCTGTGTGCAAAAAAGAAAAGGAAATAGAGATTGCATTGAATACATCAAGTAAAACAATGCTATTTTCTAGCTCAAAGCTTGGCTGTTAGTTCATCAATCATCAGCTTTGTGTTCAGTATATTGTTCAATGGGTTGGGGAGGTGTGTGTGTACGTGTATGTGTTTGTGCGTGTGTGGCGGGGGCTGTTGGGGCTCAGTGAGGGTGAAAGTGTACCTGTGAATGCAGCTGTGACTGCATAAATGTGATGTGGTGCTGTTTGAATTTGAGGAGTGGCAGAGAGAAAGTAGGGGAACTGGAGGTGAGGAGCTGGGGATGGAGACACGAAGGTGAAAATTATTTACTTAATTTAAAATAGGAACAAATGAGCAAACACTGTTGGGAGCAGACTTAACATAACATAACCTAAAGAACAATTAAACAGTTCAGCCGTGCATGGCTGGTGAGGTGATTTTAAACTGGAATAAAAACAATATATACAACTGCAATAGCTTCAACACTGTCTCAAGAGTCAGACATCCATCTATTATCTTTCCATGCAGGGTTTGGAGCTGGTGCCCATGTCTCCAGCAATCATCCGACTAGAGATGGCGCAGCCTGGACAGGTCATCAGTGTTTCAAGGGTCATGTTTTATTTAGATTTTTAGAATGGATGACTTGTGCTGTGAGATTTTGCCTTTGTCTTTGCTATTTTTGTAAGAAATTGTAGATTATTCGGTGAACAGTTCCCCATACAGATAAAGGGTTGTGAAAAGGCAGGATCAATGACAGGGAAATGTGAGACTACAGATTTTTAAATAGTCTTTCATGTGTGTTTAACTGAACTAGTACCTGTTCAACAGTCCTAATGTCTTGTGCTGTTTCTTAGGTGTGTCCAAGCCAGTTTATTAGGGAGGGTAATTTCAGACAGTGATAAATTGTGGCAGATGGGTGACATTTATGGCTTCTCAGCTTTCTTGTCATTAGCAAATTAGGTTTAGAGTCTGAGATGATCCAAAAAGGCCGGGTGAGTATTCAGCCAGACACAATGTAGCTCTGAAGAATGAGTGTCATCATCAGTGGAAATGAGCCTGTCTCACACATCTTTTACCTGCTTAGCTCAATTTTTCATTTTCCCTAGCAACCAGGACCTTTGTATTTAGTGGGAGAGTGCTTCTAAAGGTTTCAGGTTCATTTTGTCCCCCTCAGTTATTTTCACACACAAAAAAGGAAAAAAAGAAACCAGCTCATTCTGCATTGCATCTTTGATGTTGTGTGTGAATGACAATAAAACTGATTCTGATTCTGACATTTCAGTCCCAGACAACAAGTTTTTTTAATAGAGCAAATATCTTAAAGTTGGCTGAGAAATTAGACAAATAGAACTTTAAACCGCCACAGGGTAGCTAAATACAACAGTATAATATAGATTATACAGAGTTTTTGTCTACTACTATTTAATGAGCGTATTGAAACAGGAGACACAGATAACATAAGCTGAAAGCACGGAGTATGCCATCGTCCTTGTTCTCCGCTTTCCTTTTTCTCATCCCAGAACATCCGTAGTTAAAATTTCACAAATACATGGCCATGCATCAAGTAGCCTAACTGTTTGAGAGTCCAAAAAAATCCCAAGGATAAGAATTGCTTCAAATAAACTGTGCTCTTTTGTAGGACTGTAAACATCAACCAGCAAAAAAACAAACTAGTTAATTCAAACATTTTCTCTTCTTTTAATGTTTTTGCTCCTTTTTATATAACTGCATTTGATAAATGCTATAAACATGAATGACATATCTACTGTCTTTGTTCTCTCAGCTCATTCATTGTTTTGGTAATGAATAATTTATCAGGCATGACAAATCTAAAACTGAAGTGTACAAAATCTAACAATTTTCTTTTACATTTTCCCCCACAAAAATAATCCAGAAACTATGCACTTATAGGCAGTTATATAAGTTGTAAGTAAACAATTAAACTGTAGAATGCCAAATCAATATTTGAAAGGTGTAATAAGCTCTGAAAATGTGCTGGAGTACAAGTCTGCTGACTAGTGATGATCATTTCTTAGCTGTTTAGTTTTCTATAATTTGAACCATAAAAATGATAACACCTAAAAGTAACAGTATTCTTATATTTATATTTGAATATGGCATGTTGATACTCTAAGGAACTAGCACCATACGTTTAACCATCATTCATCCCTTTTTTAACCAGAAGACTTAGATGAACATTCACTAACTGTGTGGTAAAATTAAGGCACCATGTCTGTGTTAAAATAAACCCTCTGACAACACCAACCACTCGTTAGAAGGCATACTTTTCCTTTTGACAGGCAGCTTTTTTCTACACTTTCCTAATTATCTCTGTAGTGCCTCCAAAAACAGTGGCATCACCCAAAGAGTTCATGTGGCTTTGGTTCTACAGTTTCTATTTAAAACAGTGAGGTACCTCAACAAAAGTAAAAAAAAAATAAAATAAAATAAAACAAAATAAACTGCCTAAATGGGTCTTTCTCAATATTAAACATTTATAATACATAAAGACAATGGATTTTGTAACATTAATATGAAATAAACTAAGTTTTTAAATATAAGAAAACTATATGTCATATGTAAGCAAACCACGATGCCAAAAGCTAGGGCTGAGCTTAAATTTAATTAAACTTGTCAGAGACTTCCAGTAAATGCTGAACTTTTCTATATTTCCTTATTGAAAGCTGTTAAATAAAAGGCTGGTAATTAGATTTGTAACTCTGTACAAGCTAAATGCACTCCTGCAATTTTTTTGATCTTTGTAATGAACATCGATTGTGAGTTAGTACAAGGTAGGATGTAAACCAGTGCACGTGATGCTACAAGAAAACTGATCACACTCAACATAAGCTCTCTGTGAAATACCCACCATATACAAACAACAAATATTCAGCAAAGCTGGTGCCCATGTGGTTGCTGGCCTCACAGCGGTATGTGCCATTGTCTGTTTTATTTAGTATGGTGATGGTTAGTTCTCTGCCCTCCACAATCATGCGCTCAATGTCTGGCAGTTCTCCTCCATCTTTGGACCACAGTACTGGTTCTGGTCTGCAAAAAATATGTAGTCATTGCTTTGTTTTAGCTCATTTTCAAGGGTTTACAATGAGCAAACTGCACAAAGAACAAATGAAAAGGAATCCAATCTTTAGTCCTGGTTTTATCTTTTGAATGTTTGCAAGTATTCAAAAATACTGAAAATACGTTGCAACTTACATTGGATTGCCTATGGAAACACACTCCAGTTTGAAGTACTGTCCTTCCTGTGGAAGAATCAGTGAATGTGTGATCTCCAGTTGGGGAGCATCTGCAAAGAAGTTTCCAAAATTCAACGCTATAGATTTACTGTATTAGAGGCTTTAATTCTAACACTGACATGGTGCAAAACTGTAAGCTTCTCTGTCCTTTGGGTAGCGTTTAGCTCTAGCCTATATCCTCTTTCTGTTTTTGTACAAATCCCTTACCTGCAAACTAATCCACTACTAATCCAGCACAAATGCAAAGCTAAACATGCAGACATAAATGTAATCTTCATCTTTGTATTTCTATTCAATGCCAATCTTAAGCCGAAACCATCTTTGTGGACTGACTGTACTCACAGTGGACCTCCAGGACCTCAGTTGTCATGTAGGGATTGGACAGAGACACGTGCTCCACACTGCAGGTGTAAGCGACACCATCATCCTGTTTATTCACCTGGAACTGGAGGCTACTCTTCACTGTGAAGGATTTCCCTGTGGCATTGACCTCCATAGTCCCTGCAGAGTGTCAGAAAGTAAACCAGCTTGTGAATACTCATGAATACCTCGTAAAAAAAAAACGTTCCAAGCAAACCCCTTTATGAGCAATTGTTTCTATAAAGACAGTTAGAAAATAAAAAAATAGAAATAATGATTTTTGTTTCTGATATTACAAATTGTAGTGCTATTTTTCCTCTGTTTTTGTGTTTGACTGAGAGAATTGTTGCCCTTTTGAATGTCAAGGTAAAGTAGAATAAAGAACGGTGGGCTATGTGAGTGTTGCCGCGGTTGGTTGAGTGCGTTTGCTCCTCCAGGACCATCGCTCAAATATCCCACTCAAACAATCAGACACACTCCATCTGAAGAGTTGGGTGAAATTTAGAGGTTGTCAAAATTTCCCTTTTCTTTCACTCTTTTGTTTCAGTTTCATTCCCTGGTATTCACCTTTAGCTTGAGATTTTTTTTATTTACTTTTTATATGTTGAGAGTTGGAAGCTTACTTTGGAGTTATATATTCCAGTAACTTTAAGGGTTCTGGCATGTTTTTTCTGTAAACAGCAAATGAAAGATATTACCCAACACTTGCCTCAGAAAGACCTCTTTGTTGATGCTGTATTTTTTCCCCTCTCCTCACTCAAAAATGCAAGTTGCCCAGAAAAAAACAAACAAACAAACAAACAAAAAAAAACTTATTAAACACTAAAAGCTCTTTGCAATAATGTAATATAATAATTTGGGTTGATCTGCTCCACTAGCTCCATTTCACATTTTCTCTGTGATTTTGTTATTTGGAAAATATTACTATTTTATTGGGCATGACTGTACTAATACATTGAGGTATACAGCACAATTTATTATTGACAATTTTTGTATTACTTTTTAAATGTAATTTCATTGTGCTCTGTACAATGACAATAAAGACATCATTAATCAAATGACCATACTTTCTCTAAAAAGTCCTAACGTAAGGAAATAAATTGTACATAAAAAAACTATTGGACTGTGTATTTTGAGCAAACGTACTTGTTACTTGGATAAAATAAGTTAAATGGTTAAATTTGGGAATTATCTTGTTTTAAAAACAGATTTAAACTAATTTTTGTGCCTGCAAAAAGCGAACAAGCTTTAATATCAAAAGCAACAACAGTTAGAGGTGAGAATAACGTGCCCTGAATTGTGCCTGAAAGTACAGAGGGGGCACAGGAAGCACCTCTGTGGCACTGAACACAAATCTCTGCTGCTTCTCCTTTTATTTGTTGAGCTGCCTGCAGCACTGAAGCTGCAACAGAGAAGCTGTCAGTCTCTTTCGAGGCGGTTGATGGCATCGCCAGAGAGAATACTGTGCCAGGTTTCATAAGAATGAGAATATGCCCAGGTGCATCTGCTTTGTACCGACGTCTTCCGAGGCCAGCAGAGTTGAATTCAGGCAAATGTGGGTCCTCCTGCGATCACCTCCCCAGAATCAGTTTTAATAATGAGATGCCACAATGAAAAGCTTTGAATTGTTTAAAAAAATGTCAAGGCCTTTCTAAACATTAGCATATCTTCAAATTGATTGCTCGTTTCCCCTCAGATTGTAATAATTACTGTTAATGTGTTTTCTGTGTCACTTTGTTTTGTTACAGAATTTTTCCTTTTATGAAACCGGTTTTATTTTCAAATTGTACTTTTAAAATAAGAACATTTTTTCAGCACATGTTTTCTACCTGTTAATTAGTTTTTGCAACTTCAAATAATTTATTGTGTTATTTTTTACTTATCTATTTTTTATTTTATGACTTTGCTTCTTTTAATTATTGGGTTTAACCATGTGTAAAACTCAAATTCATTTACCTGTTTTCTTTTACTGTTTTTTAGCAATTGTTCTAGTAATCAATTTAATCTTTCTTTCTTCAATCAATTTATTCCTAATAACCAGTCATTTTAGGGTAAGAGCAGAGGCTGTTTGATATGTGAGATTGTTTTATATTTTATTCTTGGCTGAATCAGGACTAAAATTGTACAATATAATGCTTTAACACATTTGTATTTTTATTTTGTTTTTTTTTTTATAACCACCCAGGAAGTCTTTGTTGGAAAATTTCAAAAACACTTTGTAAGGTAGCCAACTTGTCTGGTGACCGGATCAACTTCTGTCAACTGGTCTCTTTAAGGTTACCAAGATTTAATCATATCTTGGTCAAATGAATAACATTTTCTCATTTTTTTACATATATCTTTTATTATTTTACATATTTAAGATGTGCAGATATTGACTGGATGATTTCTTTCAGCCAAACCATTTTTTACAAGAAATGAAGCATTATATTTAGCTGTAAAGGTAAAACTTATGAAAATATTTTTATTAAAATGTGTAAAAGCAAACTGCAATTGTTCTCAGAAAAATTGGTGTTGTCAGATTGAAAATGAAGGAGGCAAATTTTACATCGTCATTCTTAATTGTCTGGATTTCAAGGCAATAATATCTGACCTTACTCTGAACAGAAAACTGTTATTTGTCTTTGTGTTACAGAGAAAATAAACTTATTGTATGCAGAGGGGGACGGTGGTGGGTGGATTTTTAATCAGCAGATCATAAATTGAAGCCTAGCTGCCATTCAGCAACACAAAAAATTTGTATATCTCTATACTCGGTAAACAAATTACTTTACTTTAGATGACAGTTGCACTTTGAGGTTTGCATTGCAGTGTTCTAATATAAATTGTCAAAAAAAAAATCATCAGAGCATGAAATAAATGCGACTTCTTTTTGCTATTACACCTGCTGTCGTCTTTGGAGTTTTATACACTGGTCCCCCAGCGGGGATAAATTTGACTGACAGCAGACACTGGCGGCAACAATCTTCCACAGAGGAACCAATGGCAAAACATACTGCTCCTAGCACATGCTCACTAAAGAAAGCTTTAAAGCTGCACCCAAAAAAAAAAAAAAAAAAAAAAAAAGATCCTGGAGCACTGATTGACATTCCCCATCTTTGACACTTTGACATGGAAATTAGGTTTTGAAGTCAAGACCTCCAGTTTCTGCAGTGTTCTTTATCACTTTTGCATACGGATCTGTTTGCCCGAACAGCACCTATAAGCAAAACTAATAAAACACACCTGCATACCAGACACCATATTGATGCAGACTTGGTGCCTGATCCTTTTCAGAGATATAGCGCTCACTCAGCTCACATAGATGCCATTTCTGCCATCAGATATGCAGTAAATGTAAGGAAACACATCTTATATACCAAGAATACAGATTTTTGAGATTTAAGGTTTATCTTAAATTGTGCTTTTTTATATAAAAATAAAGTACAAAAGAGATCTCAGTGCCTCTTGAGATGGACAGCAAGTCAGGTTGTGATGCTGTGTGCCAGCTCTCCACTGGCCTTTCAGGAAGCTACGTGCATGTCATTTCAACAAGAAAACTTCATATCTCAGCCCTTCTCCCATCAATCATCATGCCATGTTGGGCAGACACAGACAGAACCACCAAGAAAAAAACTCTCTGGTGCAAATCTTCTATAAAGAGCAACTGTCACAGTGAGCCTCCACAGCAGGCACCATTATATTAAAGAGCCTGGTGCAGCACATCTCTGTCATGAAGCAAGGGAAGAACACTCAATAGCTATTGTTTTTTTTTTCTCATGAATTTAGTTTTTTTTAAAGCAGAAACAATTCCAGGACAGGAGTTTTAAAAATAAAATGCATGGAACTTTACACAGTTCAAAAAGAAGAAACTTATGAGGTACTGTTTAACCACCGAAAACCTGAGCTGGTTTAAGTTAAGCTCAGAATTCACTGTCTCATCTGCCTGATGTGCTGTTTCTACGTTTATCACCTGCTGTCAGGTGACAGTTTACCCATGTCTGTGTGTGTGTGTGTCATGAAAAGATGGTCTTAGTGTAAAACTCTGTGGCTGAGCAATCTGCATTCCTTCAAAGGAATGCTAGGCCTTTACTTTTGCCATTTGTGATTTTTTTTTTTTTTTGCTGTATACTTGTTTGCAGAAATATTTACAATTTTATATTTACAAGTATTTTTGCTGCATTTAACAATCTGAATTTAACTTTGGAATGAAAATAAATTTTTTTGTCTATCTCATTCGGTTTCGTGATCAGTTCAGCAACATCTGGCAGCTTACAAGGACAGCAATGATGCCCAGGCCAGTGGAACGGAGCATAAATATGTGCACAAAGGAATGCAGCAGTTGAATGACTTGACAGTAAGGGTGTCTCCCAGGGGCCACAAGCTGTAACAGAGGATACAATGCTCTGTTAAATCCATGCCATAAGCTTACCTTGGACCTCCTTGTCATTTCGGAACCACCGGATGTTGGCAGCAGGTTTGCTGCCTGATGTGGTGCATGTCAGGGTGATTACGTCCTTTTCCATGGCTGGCTTGGCAAATCCTGTGATCTCTGGTCGACTTGGCACTCCTGTTTTGCACACAAATATAATTACTATACTGGATATGGTTTTATGTACGGGTGTATTTATTTATGTATTTATTAAAATCAAATAAAGTGTTTGTGTCAAGTGTCAGAATGCAAACAAAAAAATATATATAACCACAAATAACTGGCCTGGGAAACTTTCTTTTAAATGGGCATGCTCACCCAGAACAGTGAGGAAGGCCTTGGTGGTCTTGACAGGCATGGTGAAGAGCGAGCACGTGTACTGGCCCTCGTCTGACAGGCTGACATCATTGATTCTAATGGTGAGCTCTTGTGACGAGGCTCGCACCAGTTCAATTCTGTGATCCCTCAGTGCTACATGGGGATAAAATTAGCACAGGAAAAAACATAATGTTAAGCAAATTCACAATAAATCCAGGAATCTAGCATAGAGATGCCATTTGTGATCCATTTGACCTTTACCAGACTGAAGCTGGAAACTCAAGGTGCTTTAAGTTATTTCAAATAAAATAGTTGTCAAATGCTGCAAACACATTCCAGAGCCATCGGTTTGAAACACCATCTTTATGACTGAATGCTAGGCTGAAGGGATTTTTCAGTACAAGTACAAAAGGCCTCAATGAACAGAGCTGAAGCATAGGATCTGAAATCCTACATTTTTATACATTTATTCTGATAATCAGATGTTTCCCAAATATCGATTTACACTTTAACACATTTAGCAAAAGGTGCATGGGACATTTTTATTGCTCACTGCCAAAGGTGACAGGGTAATCCTGTTTTTGCTTCTGTCTCTATGTTTGTTTGTCTTTTGTATTAGAAAAATATTTCATGAACCAGCAGACAAATTTTAACGATATTTTCAAAAAGTAAACATGCAGTTTATTTACTTTTAAAGTCAATCTAATTTAAGATGGCTGTCACAACCAATCATAGGCAAAAATCCCAGGTTGGGTGGGTCTGGACCCCTTTAACCTTACGTAACCTTAAGTAATATTAGCAGAAGGTTACAGAAAGCATATTCATCATTTATTACGGCAAAATGGTGCATTTATACTTGCTCATATAAGTAAGTGACTTGGTTGTCAACGTGGCATTTTATTGTTATTATATTTGACTACCTGCTGATGGATCATCCCTATTTCACAAAGGCTGCCCAAGTTAATTAACATTAGCAAACACAAAAATTGCTATACTTCAGTCAGTTTAATATAAACTGAGCTAAAATTAGGTGAAAATCATTCGCAACGTATGAGCGCCAACACATTTCACAAGATCTTAAATTATCATGGAAGATTGTGCAAAATGTCTTTCACAACGTTTAAACAAAGTGGCTACAACATTGTCATTTCTCAAAATAAAACACTTTGGCATGAAAACTTTGAAATGAAAAGATGACAGATGATATGCATCTTTTAAGATATACTAGACTTCATATCTTCTTACTGTAATTCCTCATGGCCTACAGTTAAAGAACAATAAATAAAAACCAATTCCATCAGAACTACATCGTGGAAAAAGCCTAAGAAATAATAATAACCATAAAAAAGCCTAAGAAATAAGGACATTTTGAATAATTGACATACAGTATGTTTCAATTAGTATTTCAAGGTGACAATCGTATAGAATTATAAAAAATGGTACTGAATTGAAGCAAAAATAAAATTAAAGTAAAAATAACCTTTTAAATTATACTTTTAAAAATTGTTTAAATGTTCTTGATATAATTTCTTGATATAATTTAAACCAGAAAATTTACATCAATCAAATTATTTAATGTAAAACAAAGGAACAGGGCTGATGTTAACCTAAAAAGGTGCTTCAATATTACTAATACTTACAACATATCATGAATTAAAACCCTTTTGAGCTGGATTTCTCTGCTGGAATTCTTCTCCGGTGTGCATATAAATGTGATTACTCCTCCATAAACCTAAAAAACCCAGGTTTTAACTGAATAGGGTCATTTCATACCTGTCATCTCTTTTACAGTTTTAAATTCAAAGTCACCTGCTCTTACTGTTCAAGTTTGAGACCAACCACAGAGGGCAGGAGGCAAAGTGCTCTTTGTTGAATAAATTACACATTCTTAATCCAAAATCCCTTTAGGCTTGACCAGCTCTCTCCCGAGACCTTCTTTCGTGTGAGGTAATTTGAACTCTATTGAACTGGACTCAGTATAGAAAAAAAAACTGGCAAAATGCTGCAGGAGAAGTTGCTGATCAAGATTTAATTATTTTAGTCGATGAAAGGTGTTGTGCAGGATCAAGACAGGCTTTTGATTTAAAGGATAAACATAAACAGCTGACACAGGATGCACAATTAAATTAAATTGGCTAAAATGGTTATGAGATTTTCCACAGACACAGCTGATTATCAGCCATACTACTCTTCATTATGTTATGCCATATTATTTGATGATCATTATCGTATATTCACACAGATGCTAAAAATGAAGAAAGACTGACTCACGAAAGAAGTTTGCTAATAAAGGCATTTAATTTTAGAAGAATAAAGAGTAAATAAAACAATCTTCAAGCTACAATTAAAATTTAATAACAAGCTGTGCCATCAGGCACTAGCTTATTATGTGCTACGAGGTTTAATACAAACATTTGATAGTCCGACTGTTGAGAACATCATCCTGAAACAAAGCTGTTCTTTGTAGTTAAGCATCCTCACTACACAGCTTGGAAATGCCCAGAGGCTTCAGCAGAAAACAGCAAAGCCTTTCGTGGATGGATGCAATGCAGAGGTGATGAGGTCTAAGCAAACACTGCACAGGAACTGAAGATATGGAATTACAGACAGGGAGGATCAAAGCTGTGAACAAGATGACACACTTCTCATGGCCTATATCCCTCTATCTCAGAAACGCATAAAGAAAAAAAGAGGGGGGAAAAAGGAGGCCAGCTTTTCTTCTTATAGCCCCTTGTTTCTTGAAGTGCAAACACCTTTGAGATGCTGATAAATGTTTTGTCTCTGTTCTGTAACAGGGATTTGTTGATGGAAACCTGCTGTTTCCTCTTTCCTTTTTTTTCTGGTAAAATGACAAGCTGCCTAAAATCTGTAGGAGTTCACAGTGAAATTTTGCAGCTTATTCCAGTAGGTGTGATCAGCTTAAGAGGATGTCTGCTGCAACACATTTAGCGTTGTCAAAAATGATTAAAAATGACATTGAAATTTCCCAAGTTCCTTTAGAACTGTTCCCTTGGTACGTTTTCATAAAATAAATATAAAATAATAGTAAAAATATATAAATAAAAATCAGATATCATTTCAGAAAACATATTTAAATCTCATTTTCTATTGTTCATTTGGATAACCATAGCAGCAAAAAGAGAATTAGTTATTTTTGAAACTGAAAAAAAGAGTATGTAAGGAAAATGGATGGATAGAGCAAACATGCTGAACATAGTTTTTTTGAGCTTCATGCTGAAGAAATTTATAGTTATTATAACTCAGTACTGATATTATAAACAACACCAGAGTATTAGGGTTTCCTTATTTTATAATACCTTTTTAATGTTTGTTATATTATGTGTCAATTAAATAGGGTAGATACATGTCCGAATCATAACAACACATAAGTGAACCGTTTTAAAACCATTAGATTAAGGTCTTTGTCTGAATGCCGGTGATTCAGCCATAGGTCAGCAGGGGGCGAACTCAGGTATTGAAGATTCTGTATATATACGGATCCATTTCCTGTTTTTCTTCCAGTGTGTGGTTTCAAGTACACTTTGCTGCAGCATGCAGAACGGGGCGGTGACAGACCTTTCCGTCAGTCCCATACCTTATATGGAAATGGGACTATTGCATTCCGAA